TGCATTTAGGATAGCAATAGCCTACTTTGTAAAGATACTTGATGTACTGACTAAAACAAATGTTTAATAAACGTCACACATCTAATGCTCTTAACCAATTTAAAAAAAAAAAATAATAATAATAATTATCAATATATATATTAATATATGGAATAGACTTATAACTAACAGAAGTTGTACTTTCTTTAATATTTATACTCTTAGATTTGGCAGTCTATATTAATTAAGAATTTCTGAAGTATCTATTGAAAAATTTAGAAATCTTATTTTATTTAATTATTTGATTTTCAAATTTAATAGTTTGTATTAATCAAAAGATTTTTTTGAAATATTTATTAATAAGTATTAGTAAGATTATAAATACTATAACTGTATAAACTAAAGATATAAAATATAATAAAGAGTTTTTAGTAAGGTTTTGAACTAAATATCAAAATAATACTGACTTGATATCAACTTATAATAAATTTAATATATGAATTGTGACTTATTATATTAAACTTATAGTAAATTCAATATTAACTTGATATTGAAATAGTATTATTAAAAACTTTAGTTTTTAGCAAAAATTGACATATATCCTATAAACCTTTAACAAAAATAAATTTAGTAAATTAGATTGATAACAGAATTTTCATTTTCTGATTAAATTTTAGGACTTCTAATAATACCACTTCAATACCACTTCAATACTAGTTTGATACTTAAATTTACTATAAAAACATATGAGTATGTCATAACCCATATATTAAATTTACTATAGATTGATACCATTTCAATACCAGCTTGATACCAGTTTGATACTTTTCGGAATTCTATTAAATTTTATCTAACATATGGGTTCACTTTTCAGTATAAGCTTGCATATGTTAGGTTAAATGCAATAGGCTATAATTAATTTACTTTCTTAAAGATTATTAATGTAATGGCTGTAAACTTTTGTTTAATAAAAGTCTCACATCTAATGCCTATTATAACTTAAAAAAAAAAAATCAAATTGATTTATTAATTCATAAATTTTCTAAAAAAAAAAAAAAAGTACTGTATATCGTCATTATTTATTACATAATTGAATAGATTTGTTGAAATATTTAAAATAATCAAAATAATTAATACGAAGCTTTATATTTTAAATAAACTGACTAGTTTGATGAATTCGTTTATTTGTTCTAATAAAAGCTTTACAATGGTTTAGCCTTATATAAAGGTCGGTACTTGTGCACGATAATCTCATTTTTGTTTCCTTTTGGTTAGTAAGACGTGCATAATTCGCAACAAACTTACAGGAACCCATTGGGTGGAATTTGCAGTATGCATGCAAATTTCGGGGTGATATTCGCCAACATGTAGCCGCAAACCACGTGTTCCAAGCAATTAAAGTTCAAGCCGAAACTTATCGAAAGACGTACAGTACGTACGTACGTAATCATTTAAACCAATTTTTTCATTTTCTCTCTTTTTGGAACAAATACTTGTTTCTTCATTTTCATATCCATTTGTTCAAGCCATTATCCAGAGAATATTGGCTCGCATTACCACCCATCATCCGTAAACTTTAATAAAAAAATACAGTTACGCTTATTCGCCTCAACAGCAAATGATACATTGCTTAGCCCGTTATAGTAAATAATATATTTTATTTAAAAACATTCGCATTGTTCTGTCTTATTAATTACACATCTTTTTTTTGTTCTCACATCACCTTTTCTTTCTCAACAACAATAAAGATTTTTTTTCATCTATCTTTCGTAAGGATCGTCGCTAACCTTATACAATAGTATCCTAATGGTAGGTAGCCTGCCCACATTAAAGTTTATATATTTGGAATTCTTTGTTTCGGATGGTTATAAATAGCATGATTACAATGTTTTGCATATAAAAGATTTTTCTGTAATAACTTTTTTTTTTCTCAAGTGGTTAGAGAACTGAATATTTGAGCAGAATCAATCTTGCTTATAAACCTCTTCAACTCTTCAATTGATACAAGAATAATTCATTCGAAGCATCAATTATCATTCCGAAAGGTATTTATCCAATGCCATTAATTTTTCTGAAAAGGTTTCTTGTTCTTTGAATCATTTACCAAGTGACTTTGTTGCTCCATTTTCAGCAATGACAGAAACATTCATCCCTGATCCGCAAAGTCTGGCTCAATATTCGGATTCAATATCAACGAGTGATGCTACAGAAACATATGCCAAAAATATAGGCAAGGTTAGTGGTGAAAAACCTGAAGAACATGACTGTAATAATTCATTCTCAAATGACCATACTGACCCGCCTCGATAATTCACAGAACGATGACGACGACGGTTCTTCAGAGGTAGCCGTTGAAGCATTAAATCATTATGATAATTTTGTTGTAGATCATAGCAAAGAAAAATCCGACGAGAATAATAATAAGGACGCTTTCGAAGTAAAAGACGTTGACATTAGAAACTACTTACAATACAGAGCAGCAACGGTTATGGGAGTTCCATTAAGAGACTTGGATGATCACTCGATGCCTCTGGTGAAAGTTGTGACGAATGAATCAATGTGTTCCGCATTTACGAAGAAGATCAAAGACATCCTTCCAACTGGTGTTGATATTTCGACCTCTTTTATCAATGATCACTCAAATATTAATTCCATCACCAAATTCGTGATGGATGTTGCAAATGGGAACAGACAGCCAAAAATCAATGATCACGAGATGCAAAAGCAACAAAATCAGTTAGCCATAGAAGACATTGTTGACCGAAGCACCCTTTACATTAGAGAAGGTTATACCCAGTCAGCACCCACAAGTCAACGATTAATCAACAGTAGTTGTAGGAAAGTCTTTTTGTTAACCGGAACCACAGGTTTCCTGGGTGCACATATTTTACATACTCTCCTTAGTAAAACCTCGTCGCAAATATACTGCTTACTCCGCAAGAAAAAGAACAGAACACCGAGATCATCTCTCAAGCGTGTTTTCTTGCGTAATGGTTTTGACACTTCTTTGGTGGATTCAGACAGGTTGATCGCCTTTAGCGCGAATCTTTCGGAACCTTTCCTGGGATTAAATGAAAATGAGTATGAGATGTTGTTAGAGAAGGTTACCACCATAATACATGGTGCTTCGTCCGCAAAACTTGGTTCACCTTTGTCAGTATATGAAAATTCCTTGGTGCGCGGAACAGCAAATTTACTACTTTTTGGTGCTCGAAAGGAATTTCATTTTGTGTCTAGCATCGATGCTTGCGTTAATGGACCTTGGGAACGTGTTCCTGAAGGGATATTACCCCTCAAGGCTTCGATCACAAACATGGATGGATTCGGACTGTCAAAATTGGCCATTGAGACGATTATTGCAAACACACTTGATCACCTGCAGTTGGAGCGTGCAAGCATTATAAGGACGGGACAAATTACATCGCATACGGAAACCGGAGTATGGAATCCTAACGAGTGGATTCCGTTGCTTCTTGGAAATGTCGGACTAACAGGAAGAATGCCAATACTTGAAGCCAATTTAGATTGGGTTCCTGTAGATATAGCAGCAAAAGCTATCGTGGAGTTGGTAACATCCGACGCGTTGTTTCGTGTTGAGGTATTTCACATCTCGAATCCAAATCCGACAATAACTTGGGAGCAATATTTGGATAAACTCGAAGAATGTGGAATGAAGTTCACGAGAGAGGAATTACCAAGATGGTTGGAAAATTTGTGCAAAGATGCAGAGAATAATTCCTGTGATAAAAACTTATGCTCATTACTAACAGAGCATTTTAATAGTATGGTCATGCATGATCCTGAGAATGGACAAAAATCCAAGGCCATATTAGATTTGTCAAACACAAGGTCACGTACATCGATGCTATCGAAGTGCCCTTCGTTGTTGACCGAGGACCTGATTAAAAGAAACGTCGATTGGTTAAAGGACACGGGATATTTATCAGAGACAATACCAGACCAACAAATATCTTTAAATCTAAAATCCAACCGATTACGAAAACGTTTGAAGAATGGAGAACAGGGAATATGGGGTTGGATTTCTGTAACCGTACCCTTGATGGTGTTTTTCTTCATAATCGATATTCTGTGGAGTGTGTTGTCACAGAATCTTTTGCAAGTGACATTTATTGCAGGGTTTTTTGTTGCTGCAGTTTACAGTGATGATACAGCGCGGAACCGAAATCAGAGGATTGATAAAAAGAAAGTTATGGTGAAGAGGAGAATTAGAAGGGATTTTGGTGAGGAGGAGAATTAGAAGGAATTTTGGTGAGGAGAATTAGAAGGAATCTATAAAGAACAGCTGCGCAATGGTGCAAGGTAAACCTTGAACATGGTGATATTTCACACAAACAGCAAATATTCGACATTGGAAGAGATTCTCAAATTTGCGTTTACGAATTAACGCGTTTTTTTTTTTCGTAATGCACGTTGTGCAAGGTGATGGTTATTTCTTATGAATTTCAATGTCTAAGACCAGTTGTCTCAGACGCACACCATTCCTATTCCATGTCTAAGACCAGACAGAAATTCAACTCAGGCGTGAACACTTTTCCTATTTCGCATATATCAAGACAAAAATCAAACTCGATTTTTTTTTCCACGTGTCAAAAATTTAGAGGACACCAAATAATTATTTTGTTGAATTGTTAACATATAAAAAATTTATTAATTTTATGCGATTTATTGTCTAAAAATGTGCCATACACTGTAGATTGTGAGTAAAATAAATAAAAGCTTTGAATAAAGCGAAATACGTTCAAAACGTGGTGTGCTGGGCTAGTTCATATCTATTTTCTTCCTAAAAATTCGGACGGTTGACATAACACACAAGATCTTTCTTTTCACCATTTTTCTCGACGCCATCTTTGAATGTAGCTTCAAGTTTAAATCCAGCTTTTACCAACACTCTTGCACTTTTATCGTTTCCCGTAAAAATGAATCCATATACCTCATGCAATCCCATGCCCTTAAACGCAATTTCTTCACAGACCAATTTCACGGCTGAACTTGATATTCCTAGATTTCTATAAAAATGTGAAATGTAATATCCAATTTCATAAGAGTTTTTTTTTGGCGGGAAACCAGATTCTAAAGGACCATTGGTTGTATAATTGTAAGGTTCTTCGTCCAGAGAGTTAAGACCAATACAGCCAATAAATTCTTTCCGAGTATTCCGAATTGCCCAGGTTGTGCAAGTGAGATTTTTTGAGTATGAAAGGTGACACTTTGATACAAAAAATTCAGCATCCGAAATGGTATATGGATTAGGAATCGAACGTGTCCATTCATGGATGTCCGTGGATAATGGATTTTCTGGACCGAGAATTGAATAAATCCGAGGTATATCACCTTGCTCGATTGAGGATAAGTGAAACCGATTGTTCGGGTCAACGTTCGATAGGGGGAGATCAAAAGGGCCGGCGAATTTAATTGATGATGAAAAGAATGTCATTTCAAAAGTTTTCCTCTTTCTGATTAAAATAAATTGATCAATATCAGATTTTATGATTTTTCAGAAAGAATATGTAGCATAGTAGTACTCAAGGCGAATTGTGACCAAACTTTGTTGATCACATGACATGATCGAACGACGATCAATCATTAAGAGATATCAAATTCTTAAAGAATCTCTTGATGCATATATCATCAATGGAAAAAAATTATATTTACAGGCTGTTTCACTTATCCCTTGCTGGATGACAAAAAAAATCTAATGCGCACAAAATACTTCAAATTTGTGGTTTATTTACTCACGCTATGTTGTCTAATAAGATCACGCGACTTCGCGATTGGTGGTGATCCAATGGATCCCGGAACAATTAAAGAAAAACTAATGAATCCTAACATAGCGAAACCTCAAACCTCCCAGTTTGACATCCACTCCAAATGGTCGCAAAATGACATGTTCTGCCTAAATGTCACCACCCCACCACCGGGAACAACACTTATTCCATATTATCGGGTCTACATTCGTTGGTCGAAAAGCAAAGAATGTGTTTCCACCATACCTTTGACAAACTTCACGATAACTCTATACAACAATCCAAGAGCTTCCGGAAATTTGAATAATCCAAAAGTTAAGACTGAATACACACAAGAAGTTGCTGTCGATGTGCTAGATTGGTTTTATGTCTGGAATGTGCCTTTAATTCCTCAAGGCACCGTGAAACAAATGTCCATGTTTTATTTAAGAATTGAAACTGAGGGTATGGTAAACAGTGGGATGTACACCGTGTTTGGAATGACGGGCCCTTTAACCTTTTCGCCGCGTCCAGACGGAGTGAACAGAACTTTATTTGCCGAGGTGGAGACGGAAGAAGGCAACAGGAACAAAACGACGACGATACCTACAATTATTGATCATGAAAAGTCGACGGCGAATAGCCTAACTTCGATCTCGCGTGTTATTGCGTTGGTTAATATGATAACTTTGTGGATTTTTGGAAGGACAATTTATTCTTTATTGGTCAACTAGACATATAGTACATTTTTTAATTGCACAAAATATACCTATCAATGGCTGCTCAATGGTTTTTGAAGACAATAAATTCGATTGCATAAATATTTATCATTTTTTAAATAAAAAAAATATTGATCTCCGTTTACTTGATCATCTACATTTTACCTACCACAAATGCATTTGAATATTGGCAATACTTTATAAACATTTACCTTCTCTTCCTGGTAAATTCTTATTAAAAATAAGATAAGAAAAATCGGCACCACATTTCCTTATTATTGACGGCGACGATCAAACTCATCACGATGACTCTACAGTTATAGAGTTTTAGCGATAAATAATAAGAATTCCCGTGAAAACATTTATTACCTTGAAAAAGTCGACCAATCTCTTGGGCTCTTCACCAGTGATCTTTTTAAAGTCTCCTGAGACATGATTCGCTTTACCTTCTTTGACGTAATCGAAAAAGTCCAAGCTTGATGATTGATAGAAGCCATAGTATTCAAAGGGCGTAAGACATAGTAAGTATAATTAATATCAGAAAAGGATAAACTTGTTGACATTTACATGATCTCTATTTCCATATCACATGGGCAGAGTGGAGGGGTGAGGTCTTCCGTATCATCTTTCTTCTCTTGTTTCTTAACGTCATCGCCTTCACTGTCAGGTGCTCCTGACCAGAGGTGTTTAAATTTCTGTAAAAGACTACCAATCATGCCAGTGGTAAATTCATTAATTTCGTCGCAAGGTGATTTTAAATACTCCTCGCTCTCTTCACGCGTAATTTCTTCAAAAGTGATTTTTTCCTCATCTTCACGATCAAGAACTTTGTTTAACATATTGACCATCATTTCACCGTTAACAATTTCAGGACCAGTGAGAGTGTAATGCTTCCTTTGATGTTTACTATCCATTCTGGGGATAAAAGTACCATCTTCACGGAACATCAGATGAACGAGAACACACTGAAGATCGTCAAAGTGAATGGGGGCCATACTGTCTTGGGAACGAATTGGAAGAGGGAGGACGCCCTTTTCAGAAACATCTTGAGCAAAATGGTGTAATCTTTGATCAAGAAAAGACAACCTGCGAAAATGCTAGGTAAGCTTGAAACCTGTAGAAACTTATTCCAAAAGGAATGACATGGAGTGATACCTTAAAATGGTCCAATAGTCAACCGTCGATTCCACGCATCTTTCCATTTCTCTGAAATCGCAAAGACTTTTTTCCTTTGCATCATTTGCGCCAAGCGTCGAAAGGAAACACAGATTTTTCACATCAACTTTTTTGCAAACCTGTCACACGAAGTATAAAACGACGAGTCAAAATCCACAAATTCGTGTGGAAATGAATAATTTAAATAGATTATATACGTCAACAAAAGTTTTGGCCATGGTAACACGATTCTCATCCATCTCAGAAATCATAATCATCCAAGTACAATCTTGACAAGCATGTTCAATGGTTTCGTGATTTTCGTAATTAATCTGAATGACTTCAGCTCCAAATTCCTCAAGTATTTTCATACATCTCATATCACGTCCAATTGCGCGGATTGTATAATCACTATCCTTATTTTGAGATAAAAGTAACGACCTCGCGATTCCATACCCAATCCAATGATCGCAAACGGTAACACAAATTACTTTCTTGGTTGACGCCGACATTGTCAAAGGAAATGAAATATATATATATAATTTTTGTCGTTTCTTCGGATAAGATAATGTATGCAGAGGTTTTCTATATAGTACTTTAGGTTTTTCAAGTGAAAAGGAAAATGAACTTTATTTTGCCGAAGGTGATATCATAGTGATCACTTATACTCACGAGTTAATTAAATTGAATTTGCTGTGATTTCTGTAATGATATCGTGTTTCCTTGAGAATTTCCTTATAAATAAATTCCTTGTTTTGTTACCTCATCATTATTACCCAAGACCCCTCGTTATCTAACTAACTAGTTAACCTGCCATCAACGAAATATTCAGTTTATCGAACATATCATAAATAAAGATAGTAGTTATTACCCGAAGCATACTTTTATTCTGTTGTCCACGCGTGTATAATTACGTCATTCGATCTATTCAATATGCATGAAAATTTTTTTCAGATTACTAATAAAAGATTTAATTACAAGAAAAAGTTATCAATAAGATTAATTTTGTGTATATTCATAAAACAATAGTAATAAGAAAGAAGAACAATTTAACAATTGTGTTAAGATTTTTGCTTATAATAAAATTTATAAAAATGAAAAGATAAGATTATTTTGTTTTACAAATTATAATTGATAATTTTTATAAAAAAAATTCTTTTTCACTTATTCTTATTTCATTAGAAAACTTCTTTTTTTGAAAATTCTTTTTCCTTCCTCTTTTCTTTTGCTTAAAATAAAATTTTGCAGCAGGATAAATTTAAATTGTATTGGTATCATATGAGATTTTTCCAACTGTCAAGTATTATTTATCAAAAAGCATATACTGTAAATAATAATAATATAAGTAAAAAATATTTAATAGTAGTAAATCAAAATAGTTGAAAATATCTGATTTTTTTTTTTTCTTAAATATTATGAAAAAAATATTTAATATATAAATCTTGTATATAGTATAGCAAGTATAGAAATATTAATCAAGATAGTTCCTATAGGAACTTAGCGTACTAGTATAAGGACTAGTACCTCTATAAGGAGGTTGCGAGTTCAATACCAGGTGACGGCAGTACATGCCTATTGGACCAATTTACAGGGGTCATTGTAGTAAGCATCAGTTGCCTAACTACCATGATACCGTCATCTATAAGGGTCAGTATAAAATATAGACAAGAAACTTGTTCCTGACTAGTGATAACCTGGATTCAGATTTATTATAAAAATACAAGGAACTGTTTCCCATAGGAGGCCCAGAGTGTTGAGAAAAATTATGAAATCGAATCTCATAGTAGTACTGACATCTTAGAAGTGGGCTGATATGATTATTCTGGTAAGCGTTAGTTGCCTAACTACCAGGCATATTAGAGATGGTCATAAAAATACCTGGCGATAAGACGATTCCGCACCTTCTTCCATAGGAAGAAAGTAACTCCCTCACTATAAAAAAAAAACTCTTTTCATTAATCCTTTTGCCAACTCAAAAAACAGACATTCTCAAAAAACCTTTTGTTTTTATGATAATAAAGTCTATATACTTTCCTTAACAACACTGGTTCCTTAACCAGCAGAGCGAACAGAAGCTACCACTTGTTTTATTTTTTTTTTTCAAAACACTTTTCTTGTTTATTTTGGTGACTAAATACAAGAAACCTACCTAAAAGATCTACGGTAAGAACACCTCTCTAGAAAGAAAACTGACAAGAAAAAACACCCTCCAAAGACTTCCAAAAGATTCAAGAATCCAGAGAAACAAGAACAAAGAAGTCTCCAGTCTTTCCATCATCTCTTT